CATAGTGAACAGATTTGCTCTAATTCATGATGAAGCCGTGGAGTACTGCAAATTTATTTGGTCCATCTCAACAGAAAGGTACTGAAATGATGCTGCGTGCGCGGAGCTCTAATGGGGTCACGCGTGAATCGCGCGCCCCCCATTTTTTCTCAGGCTCCAGACTACAATCAGAAAAAGATACGAGAATTGGCTTCTCAAGTTTCGCCTACGGCATCTTACTTGCCACTTTATCTCTGAGACTTCGACAACACAACAGAAAATCCAGTCAAGTCCCACACGTTTCTCTTAAGCTGTTAGTAAAGCAATGGATGTTCATTTAACCAAACCTTTTCATTTATCTCCTGAGACAGAACATGACCTCCCTGAATCATGTGTTTACCCTGACGAGCGAATTCGTCAATATGTGGCTTGCGTCCTTGCATCTGGAAAGAGAAATTCATGTAGAGCTGATAGCGAAAACCAACCAAAGAAACAAAACTAGGAAACAAAGTCCACAAGAAGTGAGTACTTTCGCAATAAGGTTTTTCACATACAAACCTCAAGATTGTATTCATCATGACGTCGTGCCAAAGCTTCACATCCAACAACATCACGAGGGAGCTGCTCGGATGTCATCACTGTCTGCATTCTTTTCATCCATTGCATTAGTTCACGGTACTCCTGCAATATGGTTGAATATGCAGCGTAATCTGGTGAATGCGAATTTCACATAGGACCGAGTATCACCTGGAAGTACGCCTGGAGGCTTTCCATCTGCTGAAGTCGTTCATGATGTCTTCTTGTACCCTCGAGGATATCCTTCAGTTGTTCTTCCATGTCCATCTTGCGTACTTCAAGGTGCTCACGGGTGTTAGGGAATGCGGTCCACAGTCTCTCAGCTTCACGACACAGTTCGGCCACCTAATGGAAAGAGATGTAGTGAAACGACAAGTCAACCAGTAATCACAAATCGATATCAAGCAAAAATCTCAAAAAATCTTGGCACCTTTCGAAGTCAACCGGTCCTAGGAGCGTGCTCGTAAATGCACGTTCGAGCCGGCTGACTACGATAGGGCTAAGATGGAGGAAGTGACCTTTTGAGGACCCACCTGTTTCTCTACAGCTCGCATTCCATGCACGAATTCCTCATGACGCTGCATTTGGACCTTTATGGAAGCAAGATCAGCATGGGCCAAGTCCTCGTTTTCCATTGCGACTCCCGTCGCCTCTTTATCCTGCAATGAGAAGTGGATTCAGAAAGTTAGGGGTTACTTCTATAAAAAATGTATTAGAACCTGGAGCCAGTTAAGAGTTTCATCAGCTTCCTGATCAAATCTGTGCACTTGACGAGCACCAGCCAAAGCCTGCTGTCGCTCCGTGGCGGCTTCATTCACGGATGTCCATAGACTCTGTAGGTCGGTTCCCTTGGCGCGAATCGATGCAGCATATGGATGCCCTTGAAGGAAGAAATAAGGCCTTTTGAAGGGAGAAATTTTCGAGATTAAGTTCACAAAACATAAACAACAGCATTGAAACGTAGACAACACTCACCACTTCTAAGTAGTTCTTCTTGTGATCGTTGCACAGCGGCCACTCGTTCGCCAGCAGCTGCCAATTCCCGGACAACAGTTTCAAACTTCTCGGTAAGCTGCACACAGTCTTCCAGATCTCTACCATAATCTTCCGAGGAGGCAAGCTGTAAAAGTAATTTGACTAACAATCAGAGCAATGTCGATGTTTCCCTCAAAAATATCCTTTTCATTACTATAGATAGGAACCTAATTTTGGACCTTCCATACTGAGGCTGCCGAATTTATCACCTTGTGACCCTTGCTTTGTACGAGGGCCAAGAAAAGTGAAAACAATAGCGAGGTCAGAACTTACATGCTCCTTTTCATGAAGCCAATCAGAGAGATCATCGACTTGGCGAACGAAGCGATGATAACGACCTGCATCTACAAGTTGCGTACGCCTCCTGTTACATTCCTTGACTAGGTCTGAGTACGAGGTTTCTAGCTTCGCTTGACGGGCTGCGATCTAAAAGGTTACTTCTGTTCAACTGCACTGAATTAAAAGGAATATGATTGTTACTTCATATAAAAAGCGCCGGATATGTAGAATTTTAAATTATTAAGAATTATATCAGCAGAGG